ATTTTTAAGTATCTACCCTTACAGATCTTTCATTTCTGCAAGCTTAATATCTGGATAACTTAAGCAACATATCTGTGACAAAAGTCAGATGGTTTCAAGAAATTTGTAGTGTTTTAATGCTTATGCAATATAGAAGCAATATAGATAAACAAAGCTAGTAGAAGCTTTTAAGGGCAGGATCACACAAGGCAAATGCTTCCTACTTCTATCAATACTATCTGTACCTGTGTTGTCGTGAATAACCGCCAAGTGATATATTGTTGTTTAGTCGTGTCCGCCTCTTTATGACCCCATGGACCAGAGCACGCCAGGCCCTCCTGTCTTCCACTGCCTCCCAGAGTTTGGTCAGATTCATGTTGGTAGCTTCGATGACACTGTCCATCCATCTCGTCCTCTGTCGTCCCCTTCTCCTCTTGCCTTCACACTTTTCCCAACATCAAGGTCTTTTCCAGAGAGTCTTCTCTTCTCAAGAGCTGGCCAAAGTATTGGAGCCTCAGCTTCAGGATCTGTCCTTCCAGTGAGCACTCAGGGTTGATTTCCTTCAGAATGGATAGGTTTGTTTTCCTTGCAGTCCAGGGGACTCTCAAGAGCCTCCTCCAGCACCACAACTCAAAGGCATCAATTCTTTGTCGGTCAGCCTTCTTTATGGTCCTCCTCTCACCTCTGTACATCACTACAGGAAAAAACATAGCTTTGACTATTCGGACTTTTGTTGGCAAGGTGATGGCTCTGCTTTTTAAGATGCTGTCTAGGTTTATCATCGCTTTCCTCCCAAGAAGCAGGCGTCCGTGATAGTAATGGAGGCTGCCATGGCTTGGCTTTAGAGAGTAATCAATAAGGCCATGCACATATGTCATACCACTAGGGGATATATTGATATGCCATCAGAACAAAACAAAACAAACAAAGAAACAAACAAAAAACAAAACAAAAAACCAGAAGCCTACAAGTGAGTGAGAAATATACTGCAGTTACATTGCTGGCCTGTTAAATGATTCAATAATGGTTGTGCATCGTGTGACTGGAAATTTGTACAATAATTGAACAGGAGTATAACTAGGGAACATTTGCTTTGGGTGCTCATGCCCTAAGGTAAGCTGATGTTACCTGGAGTTATTCCAATAATAAAAACACTTATACTTTGATACCCATTTGAATTTTGATATGGTTAGGAATGGTTGTCTGGTTCGCACTGGAATTAACCCTTTCAGGGATAATTGGCAGCTCTGTGAACAGAAGCTTCTGACTTTTCCTAGAGGTCTATAAAGGTCTGTTGGGCTCTTAGGAAGGGGTTCAGTCAACCGACTTTCTGACTTGACATGCCTTCTCTTGTAAGATCTGAGTAGTATTGTTAGGATATTTTGGAGGTCAGTAATTCATAAATCAAATATGATTTTTCAGCATATAGTGATATGACAGAATTAATATCAAAAACTCTTGTGCCAAACAAAAAATAGTCTCCAAGTTCTGGCCCTCTCTTTGTTTTGTAGAGCTGATTTCTCAGTGTCTGTGTGATTCTATAAAGCATGCCTCTTATAAGTATTGAAGAGCTGCATAAATGTCACAGGTATGGGTTAGTATTAACCTATTAGTCTTCAATACCTCTTTTGCTAAATTGCTAGGAGCAAATATTGCATAGCATGTAAAGCTGATATATGTTGTTGGGCCGATTTGTTGGAGAATACGCAATGTAAAAGAGCTTTTGGAATTTGAATAATTCTTCAGGCAGAAATTGAGAGCAAAATACAAAATGCTAAGAAGAAAGCAGGGATGGATTGAGTTAGCATACCAAAGGCTCTGCAATCCTGCATTCCCCCACCCCCAAGCATAAAGATAACTTATGAAGCTATGATGTTTTCAGACATTTCCCCCTAAAAATAATCCTGACACCCCAGCAGTGAAGTAAGAAGTCAGTGCTTTAGATCATGAAGGAATAAAAGCTCTGATCCATAATCAGCTTATTTTCATGATTTCGTGTGTGCAATTGTGATCAATGGCTTTGTTTTTAATAATTCACATCTAAACCAGACATTGATGCAAAAGCTAGCCATGGAGTCTTTTTAATTCACTGTCACTAAAAGTCAAACAAACAAACAAAAAATTAAAAAATGATTGCTGGCAACTTATTTTCCCAGGCAGGTTAGAGATTATTTTTGTGTTGCATGAATAATGCAGTTTTTCTATTGTCTATATTGCTACACATACCACTCTAATAAGACTAGATGTCCAGATGAATTTAAAAGCAACTGCTACAAATTTTCACCATTTTCAAACCAAATCTTATAGAGTCATGTATCAAATTCCATGTTATTTCAGCTTTGTCATTTGAGAAGCAGAGCACCCTGATGCTGTCCACAGAGCTTTGCCAGCAGTAACTAGAATGTCACCTTCTCTTAGCTGGCCCTTTCCAGATGTGTTGGACTTAGAACTCCATCGGGTCCTAGGCAGCATGAACCATCTGTGGAGGGCATCAAGAAAGGGACAGCTGGAATAGACGTGAGAGTGTGAGAATATCTCCAGATTGGATTTTGTATGCAAGGACAGCTGTCCCCAATAGCAAACTTGATTGCCAAATATTGGGATTATGTCAGCAGAGGGGGTTGCTGGGTCAGAATTTTGTCGGAAGCCCGCTTCCCAAGATCTCGAAAGAAAAAAATTGCACCTTGCAGTCAGTGGCTGGAAGAAAGACAACAGAGTATATCCTCTTACCTTAATAACCCTACCGAATGCGACCACATTCTACTCCTTTCCAGCCAGGCTCATAGAACCATAGAATAATAAAGTAGGAAGGGGCTTATAAGGCCAACAAGTCCAACCCCCCTGCTCGATGCACGAATACAAATCAAAAGATATCTCCCAAGTGGTTGTCTAGATTTTTTTTTTGAATGCTTCCAGTGGTGGAGCACTCACCACCTCTTGAGGTAATTGGTTCCACTGGTGTGCTGCCCTAACAGTTAGGAAGTTTTTCCTGAAATTCAACCAAAATTTGGCTTCCTGTAACTTGAGACTGGGCTTCGTGCGTTACACCTTAGGGTCTAGCAACTCTACACATAAATAAGCAAGAGAGTATTGTTTTTTAAGTATTAAACAAACTTGTTCAGATTTAGGTAAATAAAAAACCCTTATTTTCAACATTTAGAGCCACCTTCTCTTTTCCTTGCCATCCACAATTAATCATATTTCTCAAAACCATTAATTTTTTGTGGCCATTGTGTGCCGAAATTATTTTTCTAGCCAATTTCTCCCCATGCTGCTGCTCATTCCCCATATCTTAAAACGTTCTCTACACTTCAAAATGTTTTTCTGAAGCCCTGGCCCACATCTATTTATTTTACCCACCAATAGCCCCTGAGATGCAGTAATAGGATCAGGCTCTGATATCCACATTCAGAATCTGGCATTTTTGGTAACTGAGAAACACCTGCATTAGAACCAAGATTTTTTTTTTAAATTTGTGGCTGCTCTAGGAAACAAAGTGATTAGCATCAGGGAGGACATTAAGCCCTTTTTCTGAATCCAATTGCATTTTCCTTGTATTTTGAGGTTTGTTTTTGCTGAGCAGTGATCTTAAAAGGGTTTTGACTGCTTTATGACAAGCTTGTGATTTTAAACAAACAAATTGAATCATGAATGACTACCTGCTGCTACATGTCATCTGTGTTAAAAAAAAAGAGACAAATAGATTCAGGATCAATTAAATCCAGAGGCCAGTTCTTCGAAGATGGATTAAATGTGTGCAGCAAGGCAAAGATCTTTTGAAATAGGAACCTGGGGAAGAAGTGGCTTTTAATATGGACTCACTTTTACTGTAAGGCATTTGTTTGCAAAAAAAGACAGTGTATGTGAAGCCTACTTTGTTGCAGGCTGAAGGCCCATTTTCACTGTACTGCGTGGTTCTTTACTAGACATGGGATATTCATATTCCTGGGGGTATGAATATCTGCATCGCAGTTGCATGGAAAGTCCAGCCATTCCCTCCACCCCGAACTGGCAGGTCCAATTATTGGTCACCACACAGTGCGCGTAGCCAGCGTTGTTCCTGTCACATCAATCGTGAAAGTAGCCTAACTGGCACCTCCCTGCCTCCCTGCGCAGCCAACCACTTTGATGAGGAGGTGGAATGACGAGTCCCTCTGCTCAGGTGTTGAGCGGTTGGCTGCATGGGAAGGCAGAGAAGTGCTGGCCGGGCTACTTCTGCAATTGGTGTGATGGAAACTATGCTGGCCCCCCGCGTGCTGGATGGCAACCAGGGGGAAGGGACTGGACTTTCCAGGCACCTCCCCAGGGATACAAATACAAATATCCCATTTCTATTCTTTATGTAGAGAAGCTCTTATTTAACCCCCCCTTCCCCCCCCAAGACTTGGAACCTCCTGCATAAAACACCTCTTTAGCTAGCCAGCTCCCATATTTTAATCATTCTCATCAGCACTTTTTCTCTGCTGATGCATTGATTTGCAAGGCTTTGGCTTCAATGATCTAATCATCAACAGTAGACCTGGAAAGAAAAGCTGTCTTTTGCCTTCTTGGCAACTCAGTGCAAAAACCTTTCAGATTATGGCTTTGTGGAAAATGAGATGGCTGTGGGCCAGTGACTAATTATATAAAAGAGCTGTGTTTGTAAATTATTTATGGGCTGAAATGTTTACCCCAGGATTATTAAAACCCAAGCGTCTCCTTCTACAAATAAGGCTGGTTCAGATGGATGTGACAGCGCCTCTGCGGAGGGTAGATCTAGCTGGGAGTTTTGTGTTTTTTAATGTGTGGTTAAGCTATTTGTTACATTAAGAGAAATGCATTTCCTTGCTGAATGGCAAAAAAAATGTAGACAGATATAATTTATGTCTTGTTCAGCTCAGACATAACAGTCACAGCAATAAAAACAAAAAAAAAAATAACACACTTGGAAAATGTTGCTTGCCTAAGACTTTGCAAATCTACATATTTTATTCACTGGGATTTAAGAACTCAGTAATGAGAAACATCCCTTTTTCATGCAGCAACTGTTGAAACTCCAGGAAGAACTAAACAACAAAAAATCTGAACTTGAGCAAGCCAAGGAAGAGCACATGCACACACAGGCCATGCTGAAGATTCTTCAGGAGCAGGTGAGGAGCACCCTTGGGAAGGGGATTTACCTGTGTTGTGTTTTTATTAGATCAAAGCAGCACTGATTTCATCCGTTCTTTTATCAGCCCCGGTTGGCCCATGTTCTTCTGTTATTTGCATATGCGATTCATTTTAAATAAGCACAAAACATTTTTAAAGCATTGTTTTAAAAGATTATGTCAAGACATAATGGAATTTTGGCTCTTCATCTTTAATACCATCTCTCTCTGCACATTTTCCCCACTGCGCAGGTACCAGAAATATGTGTTTCTATCTGAAAACAAATGGATTTGGGGGAATTTAAATATACCTGAAAGGCAAACGTATTTCATATAAAACAGCATTTTCTTTGAAGACTATCAGCAGAGAAAACGAGTTTAGCATCTCTCATCTCATTCATTTGGAGACAACACGCAAAAGAGTGAATGATGATGGCACTAAAAGATCCCCAGTGCTTCTGTGTACTTACCCAACAGTGGAAGGAAGGAAGCCTTTTATACACTTGATAAACCTGTTCAATTTATATTAATTTGATATGGGATGCTGAGGGCATTGTTTTGCAGTGTGGATAGATAAAATGGTAGTAAGGGAGTAATATCACATTAATTCTGGAATAAAGTATTGGGCAGAGCTATACATGAAGCATGTACACACACTATATTTATGTGGATGATTGAAAGTGCTGTTATCCATATGGTGTTCTTTTCTCCTAAATAGGGAGGTTAACCAGACATGACTGGTGGTAACCACATTTGTTTATTAATATATCTATTTTACGGGCCTCAGCCTTGGTGAGGTCTAATCTGTGTAACAAAATATGAGTATTCTCTGTCACCTGAGGTACTTTTGCCCTGTCTAGGTTTGCATTCTGGAAGTTAAGTGTGTTAGGTGAGAAGAGCGAGGTGGGGTGGTCCTTGGTGTCTTTTGCTGTAGAATTGGAAAACAAGAGAATTATCTACTGCTTTCAAGTGGAAAGTAAAGAAAATGAAAAACAAATGTGGCTGTCTAGTTTGGCCCATGATGACTCATAAACCAAATCCAGAAATCATTCATGTCATGCTGAGAACATCCATAAATTAATAGCAGACTCAGATGTTGAGTTATGGCAGCTATCTTGTGAAAATGCTCCCCCTCCCCGAGAAACAAGAAGGAGGTATTCACATGCTTAGGAGAGGTTCAACATTCACATAAGTAGATCAAATAGTAGGAAAAACAACCCTAAGCTTTATAGAACTGGGAAGGAATACAGTCATGTCCTTTGCTATCTCTATGATGGTGGAAAGAAAGAAGGAGGGTCAATCTAACTCAGGGAATATGACCAGTAGCTAGTACTGGCAAATAGGGAGATGTTTTATCTTTACCTCTGCTTCCTCAGATCATGAGTATCTCTATATACCAGCTAACTAGTGGGGAGACATAAGCAGAAACAAAGAAAAATGAAGGCTCAAGAAATAACTACATACTGTATTTAAGTACACCAGTGTTAGTACTAGACCATTAGGAAATTTGAGTCAATGGCAACATTTTTCCTGCAGCATAGATCAGAAGCTGAATTGAGTCAGCAGTGCAATGTTGCTGCAAAAAAGGCTAATGCTATTTTCAATTCTGGACACTGCATTTGAAGAAAGATGCCAACAAACTGGAACAAGTTCAGACGAGTGTCAAAAGGATGATCAGGGGACTGGAAACCAAGCCCTATCAGGAAAAACTGAAAGAATTGGGCATCTTTAGCCTTGAAGCATGAAGACTGAGGGGAGATATGATATCACTTTTCTGTATGAAAGATGGTTATATAGCGCAGCATCCAAATTTGTTCTTGATCATCCCACAATGTAGGACACGTAATAATGGGCTCAAGGTAAAGCAAGCTTGAGCCCATTATTTAGGTTGAATATAAGGAAAAACTTCTTAACTGTTAAAGTGGTATGATAGTGGAATAGTTACCTTGGAAGGTGGTGACCACTCCAATGTTGGAGGCATTTAAGAGAAAATTGGACAATCATCTGTCAGATCTGCTTTGAATTGGAATCTTGCATCGAGCAGGGGGTTGGATTCGATGGCCTTATAGTCCCTTTCAATTCAATTATTCTATGATTCTGATTCTGTAGTCATATTCCGAGGTTGTCATACTTTGAAGGCAAGACTTGGTGGAAAAGGCAATCATGGTGTGAAAAGTTGAAGGCAGCAGAAAAAGAGGAAGACCAAACATGAGATTATTGACTCCATCAAGGAAACTGTAAGCTTGAGTTTGCAGGAAATAAGCAGGGTTGTGCAGGACAGGATATTTTGGAGACCATTCATTCATTCATAGAGTCACCGTAAGTCTGAGGTGACTTGACAGCATGTAACAACACAACAACAATTCTATTACTAGTATCAACTGGAAAGTAGACTTATTAGACCAAACATGAGATTATTGACTCCATCAAGGAAACTGTAAGCTTGAGTTTGCAGGAAATAAGCAGGGTTGTGCAGGACAGGATATTTTGGAGACCATTCATTCATTCATAGAGTCACCGTAAGTCTGAGGTGACTTGACAGCATGTAACAACACAACAACAATTCTATTACTAGTATCAACTGGAAAGTAGACTTATTGAATATAAGAACATAAGAAGAGCCCTGCTGGATCAGGCCAAGGGCCCATCTAGTCCAGCTTCCTTTATCTCACAGTGGCCCCACCAGTTGCCTCTGGGAGCACACGAGACAACTAGATCCCTGTCTCCTGATACCCCTCCCATGCATCTGGCATTTTGAGTTACCTCCCTTTTAAGCCTGGAGATTGTACATCCCCATCATGGCTTGTAACCTGCGATGGACTTTTGTTCCAGAAATCTGTCCAATTCTCTTTTAAAGGCATCTAGGCCAGATGCCATCACCAAATCCTGTGGCAAGGGTTTCCACAAACTAACAACATGCTAGGTAAATAATTTTTTTGTCTGTTCTTACTCTCCCAACACTCAATTTGAGTGGATGTCCCCTGGTTCTAGTATTGTGTGTGAGAGAAAAAAGCTTCCCTTTATCAACTTCTATCCACCCCCTGCATAATTTTATACATCTCACTCATGTCCCCCTTCAGTCACCTGTTCTCTAGACTAAAGAGCCCCAAACACTGTAGCCTTTCCTTGTAAGGGAGATATCCCAGCCCAGTCATCACTTTAGTCGCTCTCTTCTGCACCTTTTCCAGTTCCACAATGTCTTTTTTGAGGTGTAGTGACCAGAACTGTACGCAATACTCCAGGTGCAGACTTACCAGCGTTTTGTATAATGGCATTTTAATGTTGGCTGTTTTATTTTCAGTCCCCTTTTTAATGATATCTAGCGTTGAATTGGCCTTCTTCACTGCCGCCACACACTGGGTTGACATTTTCCTCGAGCTATCCACCAGCACGCCAAGATCTATTTCCTGATCCATCACAGAAACAGCTCAGAACCCATTAACTGATAAATAAAGTTTTGATTTTTTTGCCCCAATGTGCATTTACTTTACATTTTCTTATATTGAAATGCATTTGACATTATGCCTCCCATTCTCCCAGTTTGGATAGATCATTCTGGAGTTCTTCACAATCCCTTCTGGTCTTCACCAACTGGAAAAGTTTTGTGTCATCTGCGAACTTTGCTATCTCACTGCTTATCCCTGTCTCCAGGTCATTTATGAACAGGTTGAAAAGCACCGGTCCCAGGACAGATCCCTGGGGCACACCGCTCTTCACCTCCCTGCATTGTGAAAATTGCCCATTGACACCTACTCTCTGTTTCCTGGTTCTCAACCAATTCTCAGTCCATAAGAGGACCTGCCGAATGTTATGGTCACATTTGTTAAATACTTTGGAAGCAACTTGACAGCACATAACAACGAGGCCATATGCATGTTTTCTAGAAAGAAGGCCCTACTAAGCTCAGTGGTCTTACCTCCCTCCCAGTAAGAGTGCATTTACTAATTTCTTTTCTACATGTAGGTTCCCAAAATAACTTGTAACAATAAAACCAGTCAAGGGTTACACATAAACATTAGTAAAAATGTACTAAAATTAATATAGAAGGAAAACATAGATTCACAACTCACCTTGTTTAAACAACTCTCCTTAAAGACATATTTTCTTACCAAGGTCATCTTAATTGTATCTGTCTCCATGGGTATTGCTTACATGGATATGTGACACATAAGTAGATTTTGAATTTTGTTAATCCTGGTGAAAGTAGGGAGCCTCAAGAGCTGAGAACATCACCTAAACAATTTTTTTCTCTCTCTCCTGTTAATCTGAGAACAATGAAGGTCACTCATTGCAGGATAAAGTTTGAAGCTTCAAGTGGATCAATACAAATCTGGCCTCTTACAAGGATTCCTTGTCAGTTGCCATGTCATTTCAAGCATCTCTTCATGAGCAACATAACGAAAGCTTCCTAGGGCTTTCTGCACCTCCCCAAAGACTCTGGAAAAGCCGACAGCTTCTTTAAGACCAGAGCCCTAGATGCTCCTTCAATGCTTCCTTCTTTAGAAAAAAAAACAAAATTGCTTCCTGATAAGGCCGAGGTCTCAGAGAAGTAATAATTGGCCAGCTGAGAAATGGACTGCACAGACAAGGGCTGGGATTTAAGCCCTTTATCGTTCTAGCCAAAGTTATTTAAACTGAAGCTGATAAAGCTTTGTAATTTTGAAGTCTAATTGAAGTTAATTCATTCTTGATTGTCAAGAGATTACACGGCTGCCCAGATTAAATGAAAAACTGCTTGGTAATTTGTGCACTCTCATGTGTGACTTATGTCAGTAAACCCCACTAAGTTCAATGGGGCTTCTTTTTACAGGCGCTCAAAACCTGCTGCTGGGGCTGCCTGCCTACCTCGTTTTGCCTGAGGGTAGGTCTGCTCATGACTGAGAATATCGAAAAGCATGGCCATTAATTCAGCCCATAAATACATTCGTTTTGCAAAATGAGTGGAATTTGACTGGCTCAGTTCAGTTCCACGTTTTAATGTGTTCTGAAACAAATACGTGTTCCTCATTGTAACACCTTATTTTCCCAGCAAGAATTGCTACCCGAGTACTATTATCTCCAGCCCAGTCCAATGTTGCTGGTGGCCCTTCTTTATTGGCTGCCCTTGGCACTTATTTACCTGCTAACAGCCTGTCTCGCTCTGGCTTCAGAAATGGAATGCCTTCAAGGCTATAACAACTTCTCTTTTTAATTTGATAAATTTTAATTGAATGTTTAATTTCAGAATGGAATTGTTTATATTTGTCCTATAGCTGCCACTAAAAGATATTTGGCAACATTTATTATCTGAATAAAGCCATTACTGGATGAATAAAAAGGAAGCTGTGCACTGGCATTTTATGTAATATGCCTCTTGTGTAGCTATGTCGAGATCTGCTTCCCTAATTAAGAATAGGCTGCAGCCTCAGACATTCTTGTGAGTAAGTCCCACTTAATTCTGTGGGTCTTACTCTGAGCAAACTCTGATAGCTTCTAGACAGTTGTGGAGAGGGACACAATGCTAAACATCTTAGAGCTTGGTGGTTCCTTTCTTTCACCCAGAGCAACCTGGGCAGTCTCCAAGTCTGAGCAGAATATTACAGAGGGGATCAGTATGTTTTTCTATATGGTCAAAACAAAACAAAACCAGCTTGCTGAGTCTCTGGGAGATGGCTGGATGGGAAAGAGTTAAGCCTCCTTTCCTAGTTTGTCCTTCAGTACTGCTTTGGTCGGTGAGGGTTGCATGCAGAGAAAAGAGTCATGGTAGTCCTCTGCATAATCTCCACATAACATATAATTTGAGCCTAAAACACAGTGCTGAGGCTGTACATGTGCCCATTTCTTAGCTCTCTGCTGAATCCTAATAGCTTCTTTTTTAGTTCACAGTGTCATGGTTTTCCCTTCTCTTTCTGTTCTGTGCTTGGATAGGTCAAATACCCATTTTCATTTTCTTTGTATATTGCTGGTCAGTTGAGTTGCTATGAGGTGTCTTCACTGTTTCTGAGTTTTCTCGTTTAACTGAAATAAAATTGTCAGGCAGATGTTTTTCTAAACAAACAAGGTTGTGCCCTGCCACTCCAGCTGCTGCCATTGCTTTCTCTGAGTGGTGACCTGCTTTGATCATACAATATGAAATCTCATTTTAATCTCAGGAATGTTCCCCACCCCCCGCTATGATCCCTCAAAGTGAAATAAACTTTGACAAGATAGCTTTTAATCTGTTTTGGATGTAAATGAGCTCTTCCATCTTCATCCAGCCTCAGAAGAAAACCTATCATAGTTTTTCAGCCTTTTCCAAGCACTCAAAACATCGTTCAAGAGCAATCATTAGCTGACTGCTATTTAGCTGGCAGCATCTTGCAACCCTTGCAAAGTTTCAAATTAATAGCAACAAGAATGGGAAATGAAATCATTTATTACTCCTGAAAGCTAATTTTACACAGTTCCTATGCCTTGAGACTGCTTTCTAATCTTATTATTTAAAAAAATAATGATCCAGTCTTAGCATTTGCTTCCTTTTTGTTGTTGTTGTTATAGTTGTTTCTTTGTCACCCTATCAGGCCTTAAATATGTGCATTTCAGACTGGTTTCAACAAAAACTCATTAGAATTATATGGTCCATCTGTTTTGCTTATTGGGAGTCTTATAAAAAGCGTTGCTTTAAATAAATCAACAATAACTATGTGCAGTACTCTGGTAATTGGGATTTTTTTTTCCTTTACAGTTAAAAAAAAATACCATGGAGTTAGCAGAGACTAATGGCCATGACGAATCTCAGGCAAATGTAGGTACAATGTTTTATTTCTTCGTCAAGTTCCCATGTTTTTTTATTTGCACTATGAAAGGGAAATATTTGCAGTGGATTAATGGTTGAGGGAATAGCCATTTTTTGTTAGGTTCACTTCTCGGGACATTTGTTTCAAGATAAATGATTTGAAATTTTTAAGCCATGCTCTGGAATGAACAAGTGTCTGATAGGAAGCCTTGATCTGCCTCATTTCATTCACTGCGGAAAAGTTTTCTGATGCTGAGGCATTCAAACGTGCAGGACCAGGAAATGGGAATAATCACTAGTTCATAGTACAAATCCAACTTTTTATCACGGAACTTTCAGAACCTTGATGAAAACTGTAGCAGCATTTGCTAAAACAGGAGCTTTAGACACATCCTATGGTATTAAAAAGGTATAAAACTTCAGGACAACTCCATCTTACATTTGTCTGTATGTCTGTCTGTTTGTTTGTAGGGGCATTTATAACAGTGAAGTCAAGCAATAATATGACACTTAATTTTAAGTGTGTGAATACCAAAATGACAAACAGCAGAGCACAAACAGGGTTTGGGAAGACACTTTGGAACAAAGATATGCTAGCAGTAAAAGATCTCCTCTCCCCCCTACCTCAAGGATCCCACTCAAAACCCATTCTTGTATCTGCTTTTCCTATGGAAAGGAAATCATGCATATTTGTTCCCTTAAAACCAAATATGATTTGTCGAGTAACCACATGATTTCTGGAAAAGTCTGTCACATTTTTGCGTAAGCTTTTAATCTAGGAAGAGAATATTTACAAACCTATTACTCTTACAGTAGGTAGGCATTTCTTGTACTCAAGTACTGCTTCACCAGCTACTCCCTAAGCCTTTGATCTCTGATTTGCTTGCTTTTCTTAAAAATTATTTATATATTTAGTTTTCATTGTGTTATTTTTTTAAGAAGACAGAACAATAATCCTGTCCTTCTTTGACCCTGGCCAACTCATTCTGCTCCAGATTAAAGACCAGATCGCTTGAACATGAGCAGAATCTTCCAAGTATGATTAGAATTCCTCCTAAGACCCTGCTGCTCAACGTAGTAAGACTGGGGACTGAACGGATGCTCATGGCCCCACTCTGTGACTCAAATCTACATACCCTGTGGTGTGGACAAAGAAAGTGCAGAAAAAAGTTGCATTCCATTAACATAAAATTCAAGGGTTGCCCAATGAAATTGGCTATTTATTTAAGATGGATGAACCATGCAGCTGCACACAATGTGTAAGGAACCTACAGAGGTTGTAGTAATGATGACCAGACCAAACAGCTGCCTTGGGACTTAGATATATTCATGGAGGAAAATCTTCCATCATCTATTAGAGATAGCATATTGCCACATACCACCTGGAAACAACCAGTCTGGTCTGATTTCAGAAACTAACTGCAGATTAAGATGGCAAATCCTAACTACCTAAGGCTAGCAATTTCTTTTCAGATGATTTGCTATTTTTTTTCCATCAGTGCACATGCCCACATTTGTACTTCCCATTGTTACAGAAAAATTTGCTGTTCCCTTTCCCAATTCTTGGTGATTTCTAATTTTGCAACTATTCAACATAAAGGAAACAAATCTAATAGCAAACCTGGATAGTAAATTAGCATTTTTCCTCTTACTAAATGAACAGCACAGCCAGTCTTGGGGGTATGGGTACAGTCTGTTCTTTAAATGGCTTGTGTTTAGGGCAAGGATCCCATCCACCCCCAAATATTAGGATGAAGCATCCCAGTGCACAAACTGCCCCTCATTTCACTTATAATTTATCCTACTTCTGAAGATGCCTATTCCCACCACGTATGTACAGATATTCTCAACTCTCCACATTTTATCCAGCAGTTCATTGTTAGATTTATAGGCATATGACTGACATAAAGGTAAAGGTAAAGGTTCCCCTTGACAATTTTTGTCCAGTCGTGTTCGACTCTAGGGGGCGGTGCTCATCCCCGTTTCCAAGCCACAGAGCCAGCATTTTGTCCAAAGACAATCTTCCGTGGTCACATGGCCAGTGTGACTTAGACACGGAACGCTGTTACCTTCCCACCGAGGTGGTCCCTATTTATCTACTTGCATTTGCATGCTTTCGAACCGCTAGGTTGGCAGGAGCTGGGACAAGCGACGGGCGCTCACTCCATCACGTGGATTCGATCTTACGACTGCTTGGTCTTCTGACCCTGCAGCACACAAAGGCTTCTGCGGTTTAGCCCACAGCACCACCATGTCCCATGACTGACATGTTGGTGTCCTATTCCATCTGCTTAGAAGCTTCACATTATTCAACCTGCTGAGAAAGAACCTTGACTTTCCACTGCCAGAGAAAGTTGCTGGTACTGGGCCAAGCCAAGCGCCAGTTTGGCTTGACTTAGGACAGCTTCCTAGGGTTCCTGTGTCGAACAGAACCTGGCTAGTTAGAGTCAGTTTAACAGCAGCTGCTTGGAGCAGGGGGGGCAGAAAACAAACCTTTGCTCTGTGTCCCACTTATGGTGATCCCAGTTACAAATATGACTTGCTGGAAACTATAATGCTAAATGGGACACGTTGTCATGATGTTGAAGCAGCACTCTTTTTAACACCCAGTGTGCAAACATTTCTTTTCACACCTACAAAGCCTTTCACATTTGCCCATTAGCTGTTGAGCTTTAACAGATCAAGGTCATAACCCTGACTGAAACTTTTTCCTTTTAATTTCTATTTTCTATTTTAAAATAAAGACAGCTGAATCTCTGCTTTTCTCCAGTTTAGTTATACATTGAGCATGCCTACTTAGGAAGAGTCCTACTGTACATAATTAGTAGTAAAATGTGTTTAGGATTACAGGAGTGTATAGCACCTAAATTTAACCTTCAGCGGTGCTTTTTTGGTCTCTTTCACACAGAGAACTCAGATGAAGTAAAGGTACCTATTTCAGACAGTCCATCTGACATGTAGGTATTGGAATAGTCATCACTGACATCTGAGGTGCTCCAATGACTTGTAGTGGATGAGAAGTATCAGCTCAGAGGAGACCACTGTTTCAGGATGAAACCGATATTCCTGCCGCGCACTGTAATATTGTTGCCCTGAAGTACACTAATTTAAAAGTATAATGTATCCAAATAGCATTCCTTTCCTGTATATTGTGAATTCATGATTTCCAGTGCCATGGAAACTGTTCCCCTGATGCTCTTTCCTTATGAGTCCTTTGCTCATTTTGAATCAAAATACAGAGAAATCATAATGGTAAAGGACACCACGAAAGCCTGGTGCTTAATTCGCAGATGTTTCAATCCGTATATTAATTTTAAGGTCTCTAAGGACAGTGTCGTTTTATAGCTGTAGAGCATTGTTCATATTTCCTTCCCATCTGTCTGATTGTTGTGGCTCACTGTGCATGCTTAGTTGGAGAGAAGGAACCAGAATTTCGCCCTTGTCTCTTGCCAAGCAGCTTCCCCATCTTGTCAGGGCAACCCTGAACTATGCCTCTTGCTCACCATTAACTGTTTCTGTCAATGAGAGTCTTACCATTTCTTCCTTCACTTGCTCCCAAGATGTCATTTCAGAACCAGACCAGAGAGAAGCAGATTGGTCACAGATCAGCATGGAAGCTATGCTGGTGGGACATAGGTTCAGTGGGACATACGTTCATGCAGGGGAGGCAAAGCTGGCCATATCAAACCATACAGCCTTCATTCAAGGAGGGGATGCCTGTGAGAGAGCAAAGAACTGGTGAGGTGGAGGTCTGTAGAATTTGGGCAATCTCTCTCTGACCTGGCCCCGGGGCATGCTTTGCATGTGGAAGACAGCTTGATTTGTTATGTGTGAATAAGCATTTAGTCATGGATTTGGAATCAGTTCCAAAAAAGCTATAGCTGAGAAATAGGACATATATATTCAAGTAATAATATTAATAATAAATAATGCTGAAGGCTTCATTTGCTGCAATAATGCAAACTATTGATGGATGAGAGCCATGTAAGGAGTAAATTATGATTAATACTTCTTTTAAAATGGAGAGTATTAATATGCAAGGCTGACTTTCTGGAGAAAGCTTTCAAAAATATGTTTATTACTAGGGAGAGTTTACAGTTCTTTTCCCCCCAAGGCTTGTCTCTAAGTCTGAGCAGATCAAAATGCCCTGAGAGGGAAGGATTTGGTGGCTCCTGCTTGGTTATTAGTGGTCTGTGATGCATTTAATGGGATTAGTACCTATTTGATACAGTTGACAAGTTGGATTTAGCAAATACCCACATATTCAGTGCAAGATCAGTGCAGTGTTGGCAGTGAAGTACGAAGATGCCAGTCCTATATCCTGGAATTTCCACAGGAGGGTGTCACCTTAACTACCATACCGAAGCAGATTCCTAGCAAGGCTGTCTTTTTTCTTTTTCTTTTTTTTTGGTCATGCGACATACTACAAAGATGCGTTGCAAGAAATGCTGACCTGTTACAACTGCTGTGTGTGAAATAGTGCTTCTAATTGGGCCTGTGAAACAGTTCCTGCTTTGGAATAGACCTTGGTATGCACCTTTGTGACAGCTCAGCATTGTTAGTTTCTTCCTTAAAAGAAAAACCCAGATATCATCAAATTAAATGTACATTACATATAATATAACGAAACGAAAATGATGTGTTACTGTATCCCGTGGTCTTCACTATGTGTTGAAACCTTTGCTTGATCAGCAACAGTTTCTGCTGTATGACTGTGTGTGGGGAGAGCATTTCACTTACAAGCCTTCAGATGTTAAAAGATTCTTAAATGGAACCAGACATTAAAGAAAATGAATTATTTCTTGCCAGTAAGTCACTTTTCCTGCCACAGTGTAATTTCTTCAAATGTACAAAACTGGATATATCAGACATGCAAATGAAGTGTGTGTTCACCTTCCACTGACAAACAATTCTGGAATGCTAGATATGTGGAGTTTTCAGTTCTTCCCTAGCAAAATATGCAAGATACACTCTCTATGCTTATTGGGGAGCAGTTATTTCCTTCCCTC